CACAAACTTATGGATATTAAACAACTCTTACTGAATGAGTGGATCAATCGAGAAATAAAAAAATTTCTTGGAATTAAATGAAAATAAAAACACAACACAAAAACATCGGAGACGTTTCACAAGTAACCGTAAAATGGAAATTTATAGCTTTAAGTGCCTACATCGAAAAATTTCATAAAAATAAACCCCAATTTAAAAAATAAGAAAGAGCAGAAGTAAATAACTTACTGATGTAACTCACATAGTTGGAAAAACAAGAACAAATCAAACCCAAACCCAGTCTATGGATAAATAATAAAAATCACAGCAGAAACTAATAAAATAAAAGCAAAAAATTTAGAAAGAATCAATGAATCTAAGAGCTGATTCTTTGAGAACATAAAAAAAGATTGACAGATCCCTGGTCCAACTAAACAAAAGGGAGAAATATACAAGCCAAATTAGAAACAAACAGAAAAACATAAAAAAACAAATAAATTCAGAATAATATAAAGGAATACCTTAAAATATTTACTCCATTAAGTTAGAAAATCTTAAAGGAATAAATGAATTTCTTGATTCACCCAAATTATCAAAATTAAATCAAGAAGAGATCAACAACCTATACTAAACAAGGAGATTGAAACAGTAAGCCTTCTGTCTTTAAAAAAAAATAGTTCAAACCCATATGGACTACTCACAGAATTCTACCAGACTTTCAAGATCTATAGGCAGTAATTTTTAAATTATTCAAAAAATGGAAACAGAAGGAAACTTCTTTTAGGAAGTCAGTATTTATATATTACAAAAACTAAGCAAAAGCACCAAAACAAACAAACAAACAAACAAAACACTCCTACAGGTCAAATTCCCTGATGAATGTAGATTCAAAAACCATAAATAAAATATTTACAAATAGAATACAGACATACATCAGAGAGATTGCCCACCCTGACCAAGTTGATTTTATCTCCCAGATGAAGGTATGATATAACATACATAAGTCAATAAATGTGATAAACCACCTAAGTGAACTTAAAAATAAAAATCACATTATCATTTCAATGAATGTCAAAAAAGCCTTTGACAAAGTCTATCATATCTTCATGATAAAAGTCCTAGAGAGAAGAGAACAAGAGGGAACATACATCAGCATAATAAAAAATATGTATGAGAACCAAAGCCAACGTAATTCTAATAAGAAGGGAGATCAATACAGAAGGAGAGGGAGGTAATAAAACTAATATTAAGGATATCTGAAAAAGCTATAAAGAATTATATTATTATTTATCTAACATTACATATAATACATAGAAGTCTCTTTCTATATGTGTGTGTAGAGGGTTTAAATGAAAATTTTCCCAACTGGACATATAACGCACCCCTTGAGCCATAGATTGTCTAATAAAAACTTCAAGGCTAAGTATAAGAAGCCCTCCTGAGTTGTTGTCAGGGTTGTCCAAGAGACTCTCAAAACATTATAGGCTACAGATCTTGCCCTTGTTGCTTCCCAAAGGTTTAAGACAAGTCCCTATTGCTGACGAAGCCATATAGGATTCAGAAGATTCAAACTGGATCTGACCTGAAAGTCTCTGCCTCCTGCATGAAGACCAGCTTCTGGTACCATGCAAGTTTCCAAGGGAAGGAAGCAAACAAGAGTCCTAGCCTACTATAGTATCTATTAACTACAATAATGACTAGCATGGCATAAAACCCTAAGGGTGCAGTAGTGGCATGCATACTTTTGCACTAACCAGTAGCTCTCTAATTAGACTTAAGACCTACTCAACAAGAGTGAAATCATGCCTAGTACTGAGAACCTACCCACCAACCCAGGGCTAGTGACCACGGATCATGAAGGAGAACCTACAAACTTCTACTTTACTAAACCAGCATATTTCCTAACTTCATCCTAAATATTTATTCTTATATCCACAGATGTGCATACTTCTCAACCCTCATCAGTGAACTACCTCTGTGCCGCAGACAGAGAATGTTACAGAAAAAGCACAACTGATCAAAATGCAGAGTTGTGGAGCTCAGTTCCAAGTGTATTTCAACTCCTGGACTAAAAGTTCAGGGAACTTTACAGAAGGGGTGACAGAAAGATTGTAATAGACAGGAAAAGGAAGTCTGCTGTGAGACTGTGTGTCTCTTCGAAAAATGTCAGGGTAGCTATGTCCACGAAATCTCATCAGCAGGACTGCCTAAACAAAACCTGAACAAGGACAACATGCTAACATGGAAGGAGAAAATCACATGGGGCTTCAACCATAAACAAAGAACTACAGGCAACTAAGAAATGCTGAGAACAGGAGAAATAGTCCTCCCCGGAGAAGAGAACATCAACTGGCTAGCCACTACCAAGTGTTCTGCCCTGAAATCATATACATACAAGTATCATTGTATGGAAGGCGCTGGTTGTATTTACATATTTAGGTACACACATACATACACTGTGGTAGGAGAGAACGGGCCCTTTGTTCATCCCGCCCTGCTAGCTTACGCCAGAAATAACCACACAGGAATTGTATTAATTAAATTACTGCTTGGCCCATGAGATCTAGCCTCTTATTGGCTAAGTCTCACATCTTGATCTAACCCATTTCTATTAATCTGTGTTCACCACGAGGTAGTGGCTTACGGGCATGAGTCTAACCAGCATCCGTCTTGGGAAGGCGTCTTGCCACTCTGCCCTTCTTCCCAGCATTCAGTTCTGTCTGCTCCACCCACCTAAGGGCTGCCCTATCAAAAGGCCAAGGCAGTTTCTTTATTCAACCAATGAAAGCAATGCAAATACAGAAGGAACTCCTACACCAATACAGACACGTGCACACTTATACAATTAAAGAAATAGAAGTCACGTATCTGAGAGAAATCAAGGGGCTGCATGAAAAGGGTTAGAATGGAAAAGGGGGAAATGATGCAATGATGTAATTTAATAAAGAAAGAATTTCTGCTCCATAAGAGACCTGGCCTATCTAGATCTGTATTCCTATAACTTGGACCAGTGTCTCGTGCCTATCAATCACTTTAAAAATTAGTATCATGGAAGTTTTTCATTAGCTACTTTTCTTATCTGTGTGATAAAATACCTTGATAAAACAACTCAAGAGAAGATAGATTCATTACAGATTCTGGCTTAAAGGGATATCGTCCAGCAAGGAAGGGAATGTATGGAGAAGGAGTGGCACATGGCTATAGTGGTGAGTGGACCAGGGGACAGAGAAAGAAATTCACAGTGGCTTTTTTCTCCTTTTCTCTTTTTATTCAGCATGGGACACCAGCTCATAGGATTGTGCCATTCATATTCAGAGCAGGTCTGTAAGAGCCCCCAGAGTCATGCCCAAGGTGCACCTTAGTACTGTGCCTTGCTCTGCACCCTCCTCTTTTTTCAAGATAGTCTCACTATGTAGCCTTGGCTGGCTTGGAGCTTGTTCTGAAGAGGGGCTAGCCTCAAATCACAGATTCACCTGCCTCTTCCTCCCAAGTGCTGGGATTAAAGGTGTACACCACCACACTCTACTCTATGCTTTTCTTAATCCAATTAAGATGACAACAAAAATCAATCATCACTATTTTCAAACATCCACTGACATAGGGTTAAGAGTACAATGAACCACATGTTCATTGACCTAGAGTCAACAAGTTCGATAATGTCCCATTTTTCTTTATTCTGCTCCTTCCCCTGGCTCTGTTACTTCAGCATTTAAGACAAATATTAAAACAATCACAGATATTTTAGTGTGCATGAATACTTTGAAAAATAATAACTACTATGACATTACCTCTCTAACAAAATTAAGTCCTTAATGTTTGCTGATTAAAATTTCCTCACCTGTCACATTGCCTCTTAACAGATAGCTGCTGAGTTAGCAAATGGTGAAGAAATGAACCAAGTGCCTGGCAGCACCCTTTCCAAAGCATGATGCAGCAGAAGGGCCTTGCTTTCCAAACCTTCAAAGATGGAGAGCCATCTCTTCAAGTACGACTTTATTTATCCAAATGAAATCCGAGAGGAAAACTCCTCCAAGTGTATTTATTTAACCACAGAAATGGTGATTCAACTTCCTTTTTTTTTAAGATTTATTTATTTATTATGTATACAGCAGTCCTTCCATGTATGCTTGCATGCCAGAAGAGGGCACCAGATCCCATTATGGATGGCTATGAGCCACCATGTGGTTGCTGGGAATTGAACTCAGGGCCTCTGGAAGAGCAGTCAGTGCTCTTAACCTCTGAGCCATCTCTCCAGCCCCTCAACTTCCTTTTTTTTTTATTACTATAAGGATGTTCATAGCAAACTGATTCAAACTAGCTAAGCATTGGAAACAACCCAAATGTGTATCAGCCACTGAGTAGATAACCAAGCTGTTATATTCATACAATGTATTACTACTAAGCAATACGAAGAATGAAATACACAGTAATATGAATGAACATCACAAATATTATGATGATTAAAAGGGTGCATACTTGGTTCCATCCACTTATAAAAAATTATAGAGCAGGCAAAATTATCAGAGTAATCATTGTATGTACGTGTGAGGATTGACTGGGCAGGGGTATGGCAGAACTTCTCGGAGTGATGGTAATTTTTTTTAGCAGCTTTGATTACAGGCATGTATAATTTCCAAAGCTTGTTGAACTGTACACTTAAGATTTTTGCATGTTTCATATGCAAATTTTACTCACAAAAGAATACATATTTGGTGGCTATATACTGATGTTTGCTCTTTGTTTCTAAATGAATAGAAAAAAATAAGATGATCCAATGGAAAACAGAAGGAGGGTTGAATATAAGGACAGGAATGTGATAAAGCTGTACAAGATGTTAGTGGTAGAACCCAGGGTATTACAGCTACTTACAATTCTTCCAGCTCTGATAGTTGTTTGAAAGGTTTTCTAATGAAATGTGAGTTTGAAGAGATGGGAGGAAAGGGACGCTAGCCTGCTAGCACAGATGACCTGTTCCTTACATTCCTGCTAGCTGACTCTCCCAACTGAGATGATGAACTGACCTCCACTCCCGGTCCTTGTGTACACTGGTAGCTTCTTGGCCAGATCCACAAGGATCTGCTTCTGGACCTCAGGTCTCTCTTCATTTTCATAGCGTTCCTTGTCTGTATAGGACAAGTGGAACTGCAAGCAAAACAGGCAAGGATTTACTTTCTCAGGTTCCCAGAAAGGATTAAAAGCAACCATAACTACCTAAATGAAAATATTTATTATCTGTCCTTGAACTCTAAATACCAATTTGTCTTATACATTTCTTTGGCTAAGAATCTTATGAGATAGGTGGCATTCTTTTTTAAATAACAAAAACCCCCAGAATGCTTAGACAAATTAAGTATCTTATTTATTGTTGCACTCAATCAACTTATAAGTAGCAAAGCTGGTCCTGAATGCACTAATGAAATTCCAATACTTACACGCTTTCCACTCCATTATACCATGTTTGACGGTATATACAGTTGTGTAATACATTGCTGCCAGGATCCCATCAATGAGTAGGCAGACTTATTGAGTGTCAATTGCTTTTTCATAGGTTCATAATGCTGATGGCACTTGCAGGAAAGCTGGATGAAACGGCTTGTGATATTGCCTGCATAATTATAATTTTGCAAATGGGTAGAAATTTGGATACCCTCACTAGTTGGTACAGAATATTTTTTTTGCCAATTTAATGCTATATTTTGCTAATCTTGCCTAAGAAAGCCCAATTATTTTTTCCAAGTAATATGGATCTGAAAACTTTTCTTTAGTCTACACAAAAGGGTAGACAGAGGTGAAAAAGGAAAGGCTCTATTGTGGGAATTTCCGGTTTAAACCTTATTATCATGAACATAAAATAGGAAATCACTTTGGAAAATTAGACATTCTTGATCTAAACTTTCACCCTATAAAATAAAGGAAATAATACATACTTCAGAAGATTGGTGCAAAATTGCTGGATAATAACAAGTAACTCAAAGTATCATTTAGAACTCCAATTATTAATTATTTAAATCTATTTGACATTCCAGTCATTTGAATTTTAATTCTTTTTTATTTTTAAAACAATCTTATTTTGCATACCAATCCCAGTTCCCTCTCCTTCCCATTCTTCCATTTCCCCCTACCCTCTTCCCACCCCACCCCCATCCATTCCTCAGAGAGGGTGAGGCCTCCCATGGGGAGTCAACAAAATCTGTCACATGACTTGAGGCAGGATCAAGGTACTATATTGTACCTACTGTGCTTTCACTCAGAACATTCACAGCTACTAGTGATAATGAACATCTATTCATGACTTCATTGGGCCATTTGGGTATTCTCTTGAAACACCTATTTGAGTATTTTGTTCACTACAATAATTAGGTTTTTAGTCAGTTTCCTTTGAGGATGAGGTCTCTCATGGGTTGGTCATGGTCCAGTGAAGGCCACACATGCAAGAATATATGAGTAACATAAGCTATACTTGGTGGGTTTAATAAAGAGAGGAAATGAGTGAGTGGGTGGGTAGGTCAGGGATGATGGCTCTGGGAGGAATATGGGAGGTAGTAAATATGATCACACTTGTATGAAATTCACAAACAACTAACAAAAATGAAAAAAATCAGGATATTGTCATTTTATGCTGAATTGTGGCAATCTTTCATATATTATAGATTCTACTTTTTGTTGAATATTTTTCTAACAATCTGTACCTTTCTTTCAGTCCTTTTATGGTATAGTTTGAGGGACAGAAGATCTTGGTAAGAGTGTGGATTTATACATCCAGTTTGGAAAACTTATGTACGATTTCAAGTTAAACGCATGTCCACACTATGACCTAGCAATTCCACCCCTAGTTACATAGTCAACATAAATAAAAGTGTGTGAGTGAAACATGCATTTAAATATGCCAAAAGACATATACAAGAATGATCAGACTAGGTGTGTGCATGTACATACATACATATGCACACACACACACACACACACACACACACACACACACACACTAATAAATGTTAAAAAAAATAAAAAGTGAATTTAAAATAGACCCATACCCAGGGCGCATTTACTGCCATTCTCAATCAGAGTGAGAATTAAATGGCCTCCTGAGGATATGTGGAAAGGCATTTGAAGCTGTCACAATAAATATGGTACATTTATAAGCATTTAATTCTTAGCCCTGAGTTCTGCTGTGCACTAGGTAGATGCATCCTAATAAGAATGCCTTAAGTAAATATTATAAATTGATAAAAACAAAACCTCTTTATTTTGTTAAATACAATTATACTAACATGAAAATGCAAATTTTTTGATTTTCATTTAAATTTTGCTAATTGAACGTAGTGCCTTGTGGCGGTGCTTTAATCTTTGAGGTATCCGGTGACTGTGACTTTCTCACGGGACCCTGCACTACTTGAAGGGCACAAGCAGAAGTTGTTTCCATTTAGATGTGATAAACACACTGTGGTCACTCAACAAATAGTTTAGAACAAGCTGTCTGGCAGAGAGCATATTTCTGGCACTAACTAAGCCTTATTAAGAATTATAAAGCAGCGAGCTAATAAGAGCATTCTGGATGAGACAACTAATGACAGATTGGAATGTTGTGATCATTACACAAATTAATATTGTGGCTATTAAGTAGACCCAAAGAACTCTCCTTCCCTTTTTTACAAATTGAAAATGATAAAGATGTAGTCATAAGCATTAGGCATTTGCAGTACTTGATTAAAACCTACCATTATTTCATCAAGTTTAGGTCTATAAAATTCTTAGCCACTTAGCCTTTCTACTGACCTAAAAGCTTTCATACATAACATGAAGGGGATACTTAATTTTTATTAAGCTAAAATTAATATAACATGGTATTTTATTTATAAGGTACATTTTATACTGCACAATTTTGCAGAATTTAACTTATTCATGCTGTGGTGCAAACAAAACTACCTAGTTCCAAAACATTTAATCACTCCAAGAGGAAATCCTTTACTTACTAAGCTGTCATTTTTTTATTCCTTTATCTCTAGGCAGACTACAACCAGTATCTGCTGTATGGATCTCTGTCTATGAATTTGCCTTCAAAGCAGTATGGCCTTGGGTGTTTGGTGTCTTTCAATTACCATATTTCAAGGTACATCTGTTATATCATATGTCAGTACTGCATTCCCTTTTATGGCCAATGGTATTCTGGCATGTGTGCATATACAGTATACATACAGACATACTGATACACAAGGAAGACATACAATACTTCCTCCATCTATTTTTCCAAGGATGAATATTTGGGTCATTTCAATCTTTTGGCTATAGTGCTTACTGTTGCCATAAAGATTTGCAAATACGTATTTACTCGAATGCTCACTTTTAATTATTTTGAGTATATACCCATGAATGGAACTTTTGGGTCACATGGTAACTCCATATTTAACCTTATGAGGAAAAGTATAGGTATTTTGCATAGCAGATATACTGTTGTGGAATACTAGTTTAGGATGTGTTCCATTCATTTATGATGTGAATATTTGTCTAATGATGCAAAAATGTGCTGCATTCTTTTATGTTGCAATTGTTTAACTCTGTGAAGCTGTGTTACTTTGCCTATCTAAAACACCTGATTGTTCTAATAAAGAGCTTAATGGCCAATACCCAGGCAGGAGAGGGATAGGTGGGGCTGCCAGTCAGAGAGAATAAGTAGAAGGAGAAATCTAGGATGGAAAGAAGAGTGAGTATCGAGATGAAGAGAAGGAAAAGAGGACACCAGGGGTCAGTCACACCGCCACACAGCCAGCCATGGACTAAGAAGGAAAGAAAAATATATAGAATAAAGAAAGGTAAAAAGCCCAGAGTCAAAATGTAGTTAAAGAGAAACAAAAGCTGGCTAGAAACAAGTCAAGCTAAGGCCTGACATTCGTAAGTAAGAATTAGTCTCCATGTGTTATTTGGGAGCTGGGTAGCAAGCCCCCCAAGAGAAAAACAACCTAACTACAATCTACCATTTTATATTTCTAGTCAAATTTGGAAGAATTGTGAATTCTTTGCATTCTTACTAATATATGCTATCTTTCATTCATTCATCTGTTCATTCACTTAATGGTTTCCTTCTTGGTGGTTTTGGTGTCTAGATTTGTATTTCCTTAAATTAGTAGTGGTGCTCATGAACTTTTCATGTCCTTAACAGAAAATTGTATATATTATTTGGAGAGAAATAGCTAGTTAAGACCTTTCTGTATTTTACAATTGGGTTATCTTTAGTTGCTGAATTATAAGAATCTTTATGTATTCTGAGCACTGGATACAAGAGATGTATGAAAATACTTTCTTTAACACTTTGGGTGGTTTTCTTACTGTTTGGTTTATTTTCATTCTGCTAATTTTCTTGTCTTTCTTTTCCTTGATGTTTGGCTTTCTACTCTTCATTAAACAGTTCTCTAAAACATCAAAATAGATTATTGAGATGTTTATTCTTTTAAATGCGTTTCCAATCATAAATTTTCCTGCGAGCACTGCTTGATCACCTCCTACAATTTTTATTATGCCACGTCTCATTTTCATTACCCTCAAAGTATTTTTAATTTTTTCCTATAATTTCTTATTCAATCCATTGGTTCAGAGTATACTTAATGGTCAATGTGCAGAAAATAAGAGACTGCAGAATTCTCAGCCCTAAATGAACATCTATATTACACCCTCATCTCCCAAGGCTCAGGGGTCACTGAAGAAGAGGGCACAGAAAGACTGTAAGAGCCTGTGTATAAGGGGATACACACATTAAAGCAGCAATCTCACACACTCAACAGGGTCACTGCACAAATGAACTCACAGCTCTTCTGGTGGCATACACAAGACTGTGAAATCTCAAGACAGACAAAATCCCAGCCTGGAGAAAGGAGTGCAGTAAGAAGTCCTATCTGCAGCTGAGGAGATATTGGTAACCGATAGCTTCTAAGAGGGGGAAATCAGTTGTATGTAAGGGTGTGGCCGTTGGTAGGTTGAATACCTTCTAGTGAACACTCAAACACTAAGGAGTAGTACATGGGTAGCACAAATGGACTGGATGGCTTTTTTTTAAGTATGGGAGAGTATGAAGACACAAAGTTGGGTGGATAGGGGAAGGGGGAAGGGTCCGGGAGGTGCTGGGGTGGGAGTGAATACACTCAAAATGCAGTATATGGAATAGTCCAAGAATTAATAAAATTAATCATTCCCCCACACTTGTGAATTTGTAGCTTTATCTTATTAATTTCTAGCTTTATCCCACTGTACTTAGAGAAAATACTTGGTATGGTTTCAATGTTTTAAATATATGAACTTCTTTGGTGGGCCAACAGATTGTCTATACTGGAAAATGTTCAATATGCAACTTGGAACAATGTATATTCTGCTATTTGGGGGGGGGGTAGATTGCTTTATATGTATACTCCCAGGTTCTTCATTTACTTTTGATCTTCTACTTGTTCTATATACGACTGAAAATGTAGAATTGATGTCTTTCTAACTATGATTGCAGAACAGAATTTTCCCAGGTTTTGCTTCTATTTTTCAGGTTCATTTTAAAAATAGCTTTAACATATTGGTGAACTGACTCTTTAAATTTTTTTGTGAGGCGGGAGATCGAATTCAACAACCTGCTAGTCAAATGCTCTACCACAGACCCATATTTAGCACATTGACCCATTTATCAATATATATCGTATTTCTTTTTCTCTTATGTTTGACTTAACTCTGTTAGAAATATTTGTGTTGTGATGGATCACAGAGCCTCACAGATACACTGATTTTCTGAGCAACAATCCCAGTCCCTCTCTTCCCTCCTTCCCTGCCTTTCTTTCCTATGTAGTCTCATGTTTGAAATTAACATAGATACCCTTGCTTTTTTTGATTAATATTTGCTTATATTTTTCTAATCATTTATTGTGAACCTGTTTATGGTAACTCTATTATAGATAGAACAAATATATTTTAACTAGACTGAAATCATGTATACATAATATATATGATACATATCATATACATATATATGATCTGATATCAATCTAGTTAATCTCAGGCTTTTATAATATATTTTCTTGAAATGGTCTCATTATGTAGCTCTAGCCATGGAACTCTCTATGTAGTGTATGCTGGACCCAAGTTCACAGACATATACCTACCTATGCTTTAGAGTACTGGTATTAAAGGTGTGTTCCATAATATTTTAAGTGTTATTTATTATTGTTTAAGATAAAAGTCTTACTCTATATCCCAGGCTGGCCTCAAATTTGTGGCAATACTCCTAACACAGCCTCTAGAATTCTGGGATTACAAGATAAGTGACCATGTCCAGAAATTTCAGTCTTTTAAATGGACAAATTAATGCATTTATATTTTAAGTATTTTGTAGAAAAGATACTAGCCATTTTGGCCCATTATTTTCTTTCTGTGTTACTATCTTTCTCTGGGCTTTAAATTTTTTCTTTTGTATTACTTTGGCCATGTAGGAGATACTATAAAATAATATTTTTCCTGTGTTAATAGTTTTGGTAAGCTCTCTCCCATTGTTTTTTTTCTACTTCCAAATCTAATTTGTTTTAAAGCAGTTACAGACAATAAATGCCTAAGGTAACCACTTTTCTGAATTCTTTCAAATACTGCAAGAAAAAAAGTGGATTCAAGGTAACACAGCTAAAATGGGTTGGATTAACTATTGAATTTTTATTAGCATTGCCCCTTCTAGTTTCTTGCTGAGTACTATTTTAAAATAATACAGTTTCTTTTTCTTTCTTTCTTTCTTTCTTTCTTTCTTTCTTTCTTTCTTTCTTTCTTTCTTTCTTTTTCCTTTTTTTTTTTCAACACAGGGTTTCTCTGTAGCTTTGGAGCCTGTCCTGGAACTCGCTCTATAGACCGGGCTGGCCTTGAACTCACAGAAACTCACCTATCTCTACCTCCCGAGTGCTGGGATTAAAGGCATGAGCCACCACCGCCCGGAAAAATAATACAATTTCATAGAACTGAACTAGATGAGGTCTCAAAATCAAAGTGGCAGAGACAAATCCCAGGTTTCTTGCTAACCCCATAATGGCTCCCTCAATCAAGATATCTCTTTCCTTGTTCTCATATCTGTCCTTCCTCCATGATCAACCTAGATAGTAGGGAGGGCCTTGTACTTACTACAGGGCATGGTGCCTTGTCCTCTCTTAGGATTGGAGGGGAAGGGGCGGAAGGGTGTGTGGAGGGAGTGGAGGAGGGGAGGGAGTGGGAATTTGGAGTGGTATTTTTTAAAGTAATAAAATAATTAAAAAATCAAAGCAGCTTCTTGTTTTAATAAGATTTCCACTGCAGATAGTGGTATCCTAGTCTTAAAGATACCCAAGTCTGGTGAATTCACAAACTCCTTCAATAGCCAATTCTACCCTTAATTCCTCTGAATGAATCCCTTATAGCTTTCCCTTAGCTGGGCTAGGTGGTATGCCACTATAGTCCTGGCTATTCAGGAGAGGTGAGACAGGGTCTCTGGAGGTTAGGAGTTCAAGGCCAGCTTGAGCAACACAGTGGAACCTTACATGAAAAAAACAAAGACAAAACAGCCTGAGTTTCTTTTAATGGAAGGTTTTTTTTTCTCCTTTTGTCTTGTTCTTGTTTTGTTGTTATCTTTAGATTCTTTTGTTCTTAACTTTGTGAAGCAACAAATCCTCTTACCTTCTGGTTTGGCTGCTGTGGGAGTGTGAAGATAGACTTCCAGTAGGTCCATGCAAAGAACACAAAAATGGCATGATAGAGTAGGAGGTAGATAACTGAAATTCAAACAAAGTTTAAACTTGTAATCCATCTTCAGAGTTCAAAAGAATAAAACTAAGCGACAAATGTCTATCTTTTTCTCCTATTATATACTCCGTAGTTTTATTATGAAATGTTGATTGCTACCATTTTCCCATGCAGAGATAAGAATACATGCAAAACACCAAATTTTGTACCAGAGATTTTCTGGAAATTATATCCTTTTAAAGCTGTCATGTGATTCTTCGAGTAAAGAGAGGAACTGGCCTTTGTGACAATATATGAGATGCTATTTTAGCCAGTTGTCATTATGTCTGTCACCATGGGTGCTAAAATACTACGATACAATTTGCACTTCATTAGAGTTTACAATATGCTTTTTCAAAAAAATTTAATTAAGCATGCGCGTGCTTATGTGCGTGTGTGTGTGTGTGTGTGTGTGTGTGTGTGTGTGTGTGCATGCTACAGTGCACATGTGGCATTCAGAGGACCTGTGAGAGTCAGTCCTCTCCTTCTGCATATGGGTTCCAGGGATAGAATGCAGTCCATCAACCTTGTCTGGCAGCACCTTTACACACTGAAGCCCAAAGCAGACTTTAATATGTCACCTTATTTTCTCAGTAACATTGTTGAGAAAGATAATGGCAGAAGGCAGGTGATTATCTGTCAAAGATAGATAGTTCGTTAATCAAGGACACACAGCCTGTAATGTAGTCTGGCATTAAATAAAGGACTACTGACTCTAAGCCCAAAGTCATTTTCAGTAGTTTCACTGACTACACAGTTAGAAAGCATAAGCTGTGCCTCTAAACCAGATGAACGCATGACTGCCCATCTTCTCATACTTTTTGCCTTTTATACAGCTCAGTATTGGTATTCTCCACCGAGCTGGTTATAAGACGGAAAGTCACTTCAGTGTTTCATTCCAAGCCCTTGAATGGCATGGTCTTAATTCAGTCCATTAAAGAGACTCAAGAGAATGAAATAATTCAAGACCTAATTAGCAAGGTTCAGCCTCTCATTTAGCTACGCTTTCAGTCCCAGTCTCTTAATACAAGACCTTTTAGGTGGGAGATGATGAAATCTCATTTTAAAATTCCAGAAACACAGAGTAAAAGACAAATGTGTACTCCACATATGCATCTCACTTCTCGCCTGTTCATGTCAATGATGTGAATTATTCTAGATTTTCTCATGTTTAAATATTTATATAAATACATGCACACAATAAACATATCATCTCTACAACATCTAAAATTTAACTGTCTTTTTTGTGAAATGTTAAAGTTCATACATTTTGAAATTTGAGGTAGAGAAAATTATATAGTGAAATCTCCCGTCTTTTTCAGTTACAGTCTATGTCAACAACCAATGTTATAAGCCATGACCTCAGATTTTATATTTCTAAAATAACCCAGTGTACTTTGCCATACACAGAGAAGCAGGCTGTACATAGTGTTTTGCAACATATTTCTTTTTTACTTCATTTGGAAATCATTTCACATTATATAACTTGAAAAGAGTGCACTTTCTCTTTCCTAAATAAGTCTCAGTGAAGTGACCAGCCCTAAATGAGACCCTATATCATTTTCCCCTTTTCGCCAAGGCTGAGGGACTGGCATGGGGGGGGGGGTGCAGAAAGATTTTAAGAGTCAAAGTTGGGGAGGATGTCTCCAAAATATTGTTTTCTGGACACAGAAAACTGTTGAATATAAGAACTCACAGAGGCTGCAACTGCATAAGACAGGCACAAGATTAAGCCATCCAAAATCCCAGCATGTACCGAGGAGAGGCCCAACAGGTCCCACCACTTAGCTGAGGGGCTACTGGCAGTTGGTGGCTGCTGAAGGAGCAAAAGTCAATTTTCTTTAGGAATGTGGTCCTTGATAGACGTGTTCATGTTCCAATGGGTGACCCTACACTCATGAGCACCCAGGTAGTAAAGATTATACTCAGCTTTTTTAAAAGAGTATATGAAGATGGAAGGAAAGATTGGAAAGTGGTATAAAAAGTTGGAATGGGAGGCAGATTTTATCGAAATACATTGTATTCATTATAAAATTCTCAAGCAATAAAAAGTTGCATGGATTCTGTTGCAAAGATGTCCTATATAATCTACTGAACCACAGTGTCTTTATTATAAATTTGAATTTTGCTTTCTCTTGCTAGTACAAATAGTGATTCCATTAATATTTTATATACATGTTATCTGCATATGTATAAAGAACATCTATAAAATTAATCAGATGTTAGTGATGCACACCTTTACTTGGGAAGCAGAAGCAGGTGGATCTCTGAGGTTGAGGCTAGTTTGAGGTCTACAGAGTGAGTTCCAGGACAGCCAAGGATACACAGAGAAACCCTGTCTCAAAAATCAAAACAACAAAAAAATTTGTAGAATCAATTTCCTCATTTGGAATTGTCAGGTCAAAAGATATGCCTCTTTCTTATTGTTTCTTTTATTGTTGATATTATAATATATTTACATTTCCCCCTTCCCTTTTCTCCCTCCAAACCATATACCCTTCCTGGCTCTCATTCAAATTCATGTCCTCTCTTTCATTAATTGTTGCTACATGCATGTATTAGTAAAACTTAAAAATTTATTTACATTCTTATCACTAATAAATAAGAGTATTTCTTTCTCCACAGTATAGCTTTTGTAAAGAATTAACACATTTTTTAAAATCCAACTAATACTTCAAAATATTCTCTTTAACATGTTATTCTTTGCCATTATGGTTTTGTTTCTATCTTAGTGAGAAGGGATGCATTCATTCATGTTAATTCAGAATGGAATCAGAGTATGGAATCCTTGGTTTCAAAGACATCAGAATAAGATAATTTTATGTTTATATTGTCACCATGAACTTCAATGGTAATGAGATTAAACCAGTTTGGTTACATGAACAGATGAAAGTATTCTAAGGGTATTTATCGTATCTTTTATTTCAAATGATTGAGATGGAAAATGTGGCACTTTAACTTGGTCCAAGTTCTATTACACATTAACACTTGGCTTAGCTACGGAATTGGAAACAGCTGCATCTCATTCCTCTATCAAAGGATTAATATGGTGTGGATTCTTTTTGATAGATAGAAAATAAGAGATTGTGAGGCTTAATAACAAAGACACAGTTATTCAGTAGATTGATAAAATAGGGACTATTCTGTATATTTTGTAACAATCTTAGAGAGTTGGAGGAGACTATAGCAACCATCTAGTTCAGCCTCCTCAATTAGATATGTAACTGAGATCCAGAGAAGGTAAGTGATTCAATCAAGGTTACCCATGGAGGGTATGGAAGCAATGGAATCAGAATTGGGGTTTCCTCACTTCCAGTCCAGAGCTCCATGCTTAGAGCAGTAAATATCAAATTAGCAGTGTGCAAGGTGGTTGAGATGGCCCAGTGGGTAAAGGCATCTATCAAGTCTAATGCCTTGAACTGTATCCTCGAGACCTAGGTGACAGAGGAAGAGAACCAACTCCTACAGGCTTTCTTCTAATATCCACATTCTCAGTATGACACATGTGCGTGAGTGCATGCATGTGTGCGTGAGTGCATGCATGTGTGTGTGTGCACGCACACACACTACATTAAAATACCTAACAAAAATTCAGCATATATGCTTTACCAAAGACTGAACCAGTGTCTGAATTATAAAGTGCAAGAATTTAGCAACCCACCCTCAGATCATTCTGAAGAACTAGGGGGACACTGCCTTTAGGCCATCTAGTTGTCCAGCCTACCATTTCAAGGAGAAAGATTGCTCCAGATACCTGGCAGACGATAACTTCATCTCTGCCGGTGCTTTGAAGTGACTCTTGTTGAAATACAGAGAGAACTCACGAGTCTTACCTTTATGCATCCCTCTGTGCAGACAATGCTCCTGAGCTCTGCTCTCGAGTATGTGCCAGTCTGGTTCTTTCTGCATTAAAAACATGCAGCATATTTCTCTCTCGTACCCCTCTCTCTTTGGCTATTCCTTGAGACAAGTTCTCACAGGTAGTTCAAGCTGGTCTGAAACTCACTACATAGCTAAGAGTGGTCTTGAACTCTTGGCAATTTTCCTGCCTCACCCTCCTAAGTGTTGGAATTACAGACACAAGTCGCCACAGCTGGTAGGCGTACTTTTGTATAATGAATTTTTGTGTCTAGAATACCCATCCTTGTAAACCACAGGGACACTGAATCTTTTAAAAATATGATTGCTCCAGGGGGGTTTCAAATCACTAGAGAAATCAAATAGCTTATGAACAACCCTGAGCTGTCACTTCGCACTGACATTGAAATGAAATGGGAAAACATCTTTTATTCCTTCAGAAAACAGGCACAGTGCAGTCCTTCACTTATCTGGCAGTGATTAATTGTAGGGCATCAGAAGCTACTGGAGTTAGGGTTACAGCATGAAAACCCAAAGTCTTTCAAGTGCTGTTTTTTCTTTCCTTTCATCAGATGCAGAAGTTTGCAAGATGACCAGGCAGTGGCTAAATGCCAAGGGAAAAATTCCTTTAAGCATGCAGTTGTTCTGCATTTCATCACTGTGTTGTAATGTGAAAAGCCCATTATGGGAACAGCTTCTGAAATGAGAATGACTGCTTAAGCACTTTCCCTAAAATAATGCTTCATAAACACCTTAATAAAAATTATGGAAGCTAAAATTGCATGCTGGAAATAGCATTAAAAAGTTATTATTAGCAACATCTTTGGACAGTAGGCTGCCTGATCTGTTCTGCTCTTAGGAGGTAGTGGGAAATGTGTGTGTGTGTGTGTGTGTGTGTGTGTGTGTGTGTGTGTGTGTGTGTCAGGGGTGGAGACTTGTGCAGACATTCTTGTATGCTTAAAAATGGATGGCATAGACAGTCGTGAACGCAGCAATATGAGAAGCAAGGTGAGAAAGTAAAGCAGCTTCCCTCCACATTCTCAGACACACAAATGCCAAAGCTGTTACCGTGGCAATTATCTAACATACCTTTTCTTTTTTCTTCTTTAAAAGCTATTGTTAGAGACTCTTT